TCTTAAATTATTTTCTATTAATATAAATGGAAGAACCTCTGAATCATTAAAAAGTTCCTGTTAGAATGTTGAATCACAAAATGCCTACCACATTTTTGATCCTTCAACTCTCTGTTAGCCATCCTGTAAGAAAACTGCATTTCATTTTTTAGAGACAGTTTCAATAGCCTGAGGTTCTTGGGATAAAGACATAGTGGTGAAGGGGCATCAGACTGGGAACCCTTCGGATTGTTCCTGGTAATATTAAATGGCTCAGTGGATCATGTTGAGATAATGAAAGTCCATCTCTGAACTTCCAAACTTTCACTGAAGTATTGTGCTTGCTAATTTCGATGTTTGTTTATGTGAGGCTTAATAATCCATTCCTGTAGCACTTTTAATTCAATTAAATGTACTATCTTTTGATAATGCCTAATTAAAGACAGAATAGGTAGGTCTAGAGATGAATTTTGTATATTCACTTGTCTTTTGGTCAGGTGTTTGAGAATTTTAGTTAAAATGACCGTAATTAAGCTTTAAAGGGAAAAGAACATGAAATCTGTATCAGTCTTGCTGCACTTCCACTGGAAAAGAGGGAGAAACAACTTGATCACTTAAGAAGTTGCAGTAAAAGCAAAATCTAAAACATGCAATTTTAAGGATCATTTTAGAGTTATACTGTGAATTACACAAGATTATTCATCTTGGCTTGTTATAATGGAGTGGGCTTGGAAACCTCAGCAATTTGACCACTGAATACATGATTTTAACCAAGAAGCTTAATATACTGGAAATGTTCCCTGGCACTTTGTAATGCTCTCTTCCCTGCTGACCCTTCACCCCCATCCCTAGTGTGGAAATGCTGACTTTAGGGAGCATTTTAACAGAGTGTAAAATGTTGATGAAGGGCTCATTTTTTCAATGTTGAGTTTGTTTGGCCTTCTAAAGACATGATGCTGTTGAAAAATAGTAGTGGTTCAGAGAAGAAAATAGCTTCGGTTTGGGATGTGGAGAACAGTTTTAAGCAATTGCCAAATCTTCAGATTTTAATTAGGATTTTGGGGGGTGGTGGTCATTTTTGAGCAGATTCTTCCATTTGCTATAGAAATTCACAAAGAGCAGTTCTGTGACCAATAAAAATAATGCTATAATTGCCAGGTATTATATCATTGAAGACTATTTGCTGATAACCCAAGTAGCTTTGTATTAATAGCAGGGCCTGCAATTTTTATTATCAATGCTCTAAGTGATGAGACATTACCTACATGTAAAATGAAATATTGAAAGAGAATCTTATTTTGTGAGCAGCTTAAAATGGTTGGAGGGGACACTATTGAGGGTTGTTTGTATTTTTATCTATTGAAAAGTAAATTGTTTAAATTATTTTAATTACTTAAAAAGTACAAGATTTTTTTAAAAAAATGTTAATAGATTTAGGAGGTACAAATGAAATTTCTTTACATGTATATATTGTATAGTAGTAGAGTCTAGCTCTTGATGTACTCATCAGCAGAGTAGTGTTCATTGTATCCCATAGGTAATTTTTCATCTCTTACCCAAACCCCTCCTCCCAAAAGTGCAGGATTATGGCCGGTTCGCTCAAAACTTGTGAGATGATTAAAAGTGAGAGTCTGGGGAAGTAATTCTCAGCCCTGGTTGCAAATTAGAATTGCCACCTGGAGAATTTCCAGAAATATTAAATATTAAATGAAAGACTCAGGCATGAAGTATTGGGTTTAAAGCTGATGTGTGGCCAGGATTAAGAATCACACATCTATGGCTAAGTGATAAATTTAAGTCTTCCAACACCTGGAAAGGATAGAGTGTTAGTCTGTGTTTCAGCTCTTGTGCCAGTTTTAAATAGTAATGGTTTTGTATTGAGGTCTCTATTTTCCCTCTGTTCTTATGTAGTCACTGGTCTGCAGGCAATCAAAAAACAAATTATGCTTCCAGCAGCCTTTTTTTTTTTTTATGACTAGGGGAGACAGATTTTAAGATGATATCATTAAATAAGAATACCATTTTACTCTGTTAAATTTTTATTGAGAGTGTATTTTGGGGTATAAATTACTTGATTTTTAAAAAACTATTCATTTTATACTATGGAGGTGTAAGTCAGGAGTACAAAGAACGATTTTTATCTTGAGGAAATTTAAATTGATTTCTCTATTCTTGTATTCTAAATATGCTTTTTAATATTTGCCATTCTTTAGGTATAGTGTATAATGTGTCATTAAAGTAGAGTTGGTGCCAACATTTCACATTAAAAAGATGCTATTGTTAGGGACATTTGGATGGGAGGCAGTTTGGTACAGGATGGACTCCTAATGAGTTAATATTCATTACAATGTAGCAGGAATCTTACTCCCTCTCAAGACTACATTGTGTGCCATCCAAATGGGAATTTTTAAAAAGGATTTGTACATAGAGTTTCTCTGTTTTGACAAAGGCACCCACAATTATTCAAAATCACAGTAACTAACACCACTGTTTTAGCACTGTATATTGGCAGCAAGTGGGAAATTACAGTAAATTTGCATGTGAGTTCAGCATTGCTATTTTTATGTAAACCAAAAAATATTATACAGTTGAAGGAAATTCCAGCAGAGATTGCAGATTCATCAAATTTTATGGGGAAACAGGCATGGAAAAGTCATCTGCTTCATACCAAACCACCCCTAGTCCTCAACACCTCTAGACCCAATCCTGCTTGGGCCAGGGGGACGTTTTGAAAAATTCTCTGGACATTCTGCAGCTTCTGTCAGGCCATTGTTTCATCATCTCATAATAATCACTGCCTAGATCTACACACACACACACACACACACACACACACACCAACCCTACATAGTAATTTCAGTCCATTTTCTCCAATTAAATGGAGATAGAGGTCACTTAGGTCTTATTCAGAAAAGATCAGGGAGATAATATATGGGGAAAGCTCTTAGTAAAACTGTTAATGCCACTCAAATGTAGGGAATTCATATAAATATGTGTGTAAAAATTGCATTGTGCTTTTTTCTTCCTTTTATTTTCTTGCACAGAAAAATGTTAAAAGATAGTTCAGAATTGTTCACATTTGTATTAAGTTAATCAGTGGCCACTATAATTGGGGGAATTTTGTGTTGGCAGTACTGGACACAACCTGCTTCATTGACCCTCTACCTCCTTGCCTCTCCCCCCTTTCTGCTTCATGTCATGACTTGAGAGCTTGCTTCCTTATTTAAGCTACCTCTGGTGTGTGTGGAAAACTAAACAACCATATGAATATTAAATTAAAGGTTGTAAATTGCACTGTATACATGGACTTGACATTTTCTGTAATTCAAACTGGTACATTATAAGGGTTAGGTTGGCTGTGGAGACTACAGAAAAGTCTTAACCTACAATAGAAGGCAGGGGTAGCATTGAAACTAAATAAACTATACATCCGGCAAGTGTGTTCACTTTTAGTTTAAGTTTTGTGAAATGGCTAGTAATGGAAAATTTAGTGCTCTTATCAGTAAGCTGTATCGGACCCTGTATATTACGGTTGCAAACAGAGAAGTCCCTAAATCAAAGCTACCATCTGGTCACGGTATTGTTTACTTGTTTCCAGGAACTATTCGAAAATTTACTTGTAAATCAATTACTCTTAGCCTGCAGAGAACCTTAAATAGTTGTTCTAATGCCTTGTCTTTGGGCAGTTAGGAAAATAGCTAAGCTACCTATCATGTTTACTTACTTTTCTCAGATCTCCAAGATCCCACAAATTCCCTTAGCTTATGTCAGGGTAGCTTTCCAAAAGTTACCCTTTATATACAGTATACAGCCTGAATCTCTCTCTACTACTTAAATGTATTCCAGTTACTTTGAATGATTCACTATATTTCATAAACTTAAATGAGAAGGGAAAGGCAAAGAGGTTTTATCTGTACATTGGGGTGATTTTTATTTTTTAAACTAAGGAATAATTTTCCATATGATCTGCATAAGGTACACAAAATCAGACTGGAACACACTCAAACACAGTATACATTTGGAACATTGCAAGCTGTAAGTTAAATGATTATTTTGAGGGTGGGGATTTATATCTTTGACCTTTAATAGATCATTGAAAGAAAAAATCTTTTGGCTACATATTTTAAAATATTTTAGATTAGAGAATTACCATTTTGAAAAATAATGGAAATACATAAATGAACATTGGTTTCTATCATAATTCCTTTGACTTAAATATTTGGTAGTCTCAGATATGGCAATAAAGTACCATCAAAGACACTACCACAAATTTATATAAGAAAGTATGTTGTCCTGATTTAAGAGAAGAAAACAGAGTAAAGCCTCAGTAAAATTAAAGGGTGATATGGAACTTTTAGATTCAGCAAATCTACTTTAAAAAAAGGGACATTAGAAATATATTTATAAAATAAGACTATACAACAGTAGGCTCTGAGAGATTGTAAAAGAAATTCATTTCCAGTAAAGCCAAAGAATTACAGTTTCTTTGTAGAAATAATCAATCTTTCCATTAATAGAGGCAGCCATTCTATTTGTTACCCATATACTTATAAGTAATTTTTTTTGAATTTAGAAGTAATTTGCATTATGCTTTCTACTGTCTGGTAAGGTAATTGTCAAGGTATATTCAGTAGTTGTACAATAAATTAAATATTCCCAGTCTGACCTTTTCTAAGTTAGTTTGTTGCTGTGAAGGTGATGGTTGAGGTTCATTTGGGCTGTGGATGAAAGAAAAATGATTGACAGTAAAAATATTGTTCCTCTAGGATACTTACTTTAATCATTTTAGAATTGCACTTTTGGCCTCAGAACAGTTGGTCCAAGCAACACTTTTCCTAATCTTTACTAAGTCAGCAAGTAACAGCTTAATGGATTTTGAATTTCTTAACAAGGTTTTCTACTCTCCCTACTACTTTCTTCCCAGATTATAGCCAAACATGCTTAGGCAAGAATTATGAGCTTGGTAGAAGGATGGGGAAATGTAATGAAAGACTAACTTTTTTCCTCTTTCTCTTGGTCAGTGTGCTGGAGAAGAGAAACGAGTTGGTACACGTACAGTGTTTGTTGGCAATCATCCAGTTTCAGAAACAGAACCTTACATTGCACAGAGATTTTGTGATAATAGAATAGTCTCATCTAAGGTAAGTTTAAAAAAAGAAAACTCAATATATGCTCATATAGTGAGCTTGTTTTTATTTATGCTTCTGAGGATGCTAGTGCATTTATATACATACATAACACATTCATGGTTGTGTACTTATACAGATCA